TTTCTCTTTTGTCACTTTCCTTCTAAGCATATTTTCTTGCTTTTTACTTCTTTTCCTTTCTTTGTTTTGAGCATTTTGCTCACTCTTCTTGATTCTAACCAACTTCCTTCTTTCTTCCTTGGGCTTTGCCTTTTTGCTTGTACTTCTTCTTCCCATTGAACGCTTGTATAGTCGAAACTCATATCCACTCCTTACTTGAAATCTGAAATTAATCTTCTATTAAGGTAAGGATTTAATTGGGGAAGTGGCTATTCACATTTAAGGGTTCTTCATGAATAAAAAGTCTAGGCTCAAGGGGGATTAACTAAGGAATAACATCAAGGTTAGCTATTTGACCATCTAGTTAGAGAAAGAACATGCCTCTATCTTCTCTACAAAATATATCATAGACTATTTTAATCAAGAAACAAAGCAAGTTCTATAGTATCTCAACAGTAGAATGCACACTCAATAGAATTTTTCTGTATAGGCTCAAAACCTCAGGGCTATGAATGTAAGGTAATTATCCTGTTTTTTTTCTCAAACAACTTCAATACCAAACAATATATTTGATGCTCTCCAGCAAGTGTACCGATCGCACAAGTAATATAGAAAGTAAGTAGAGTATCGTCTCCACAGGGATTGGGTCAAATATCAATTAATATTCCTTTCAAGAATGGATGAGTTGAAATGGTTTTTGAAAAATATTGTCGATTTGTGTAAAAGTGAGAACTAATAATAAAGACTTGTTTTTGTAATTTTTTTTATGAGAAATAGAACAATAAATTGAGAATTGATTTTTGTAAATTTGAGAAAAGCATTGTAGCTAGAGCATACTCACCTTATGATCCCACTTATTACTTTGGATTGATTTAAAAATATTCAATTATATAAATACTCAGATAATTATCATCTAAAATTAATTAGTTAAATTCCAATCCCTTGGCAATTTACCCTTTAATCTCTATTGGAATCCTAATCCCTTAGCAATCCCTCATGAGAATTAAGCAATGAACACGATAATTCAAACATCTGCAATTCAATACACATCTATTCCTAGCATGCATACGAACCGTTATCCTACCCCCTTTCAGGATGAAAACCCCAATATTCCTATCTAGGGTTCTAACCCTCAAACTATCCTCAACTATCAGATTGATCAATTCTAATAAAGAGAATATAAATACGCACAGGATAGAGATAAAGACAATTTATATAAACGAGTAAAAATAAACCAATCCGTCGCCACTTTCAGGCCTCCGGTGTAGAGTTCGTAAACTGGCGCGGGTCCGCGCCAGTGTGGTGCCGGTCCGCGCCATGTTGTTAGAAATTGTACTGTGCTACACCCATCTGGAATTGCGTTAACAGGATTTTTATAATTTTCATTTCTTTTTCCTGTAAAAACACAACCAATAGGTGAGAAATATTATTGAAAAGAAAGAATCAATATAATTAGATTATATGTATTTAAGTTGCTCTTTTATGACTCAATTCTTATCAATTTTAACACAGAAAACTACACTTGCCAGAGGCACATCAAACCATTCCCAGATTTAAACGTTGCTATCCCCAGCAATGTACAAGACTCAATCCAGGAAACAATCAATTATTCCAACATGACAATCCATAGACACTCCCAGACACAATATGTCATGCATGACTGTCCCAATATCATAAGCTTCCAACAATGTCATTAGCCTCTTAAAGATACAAGTCTACATTGATTACCCCTCACACAGATAAATAATATTCACTCACACTCAGTGTTTAAGGGTATCATGATCACTCAATCAATCACAGCTATAACACTACTATAGGCTTGATCTTATTCTCAAAAATTCTTAAAATTGAAGAATCAAACACATGCATCAATTGATCAAAAGGACTTACAGGTTGTAACTTGGCCGGGTTAAAGGGTAGGAATATATGGATAGTAGCTCAAACAAAAATGAGATTGAAAAATTGATATTATTTTACTTTAACACATTCAACTCAATGGTTTTGCTCCACTAACATTCCCACAGAATTTCGGGAATTAATTCCTTTCAGCCACCTTTTATGCACATTCATCCTTTTTCTTTTTCATACTTTTTCTTTAAGGGCACATATGAAATTTACATCCCCTAATTACTTGAACTTTGTGGATCTTACCTCAATTTTTTTGTTTTATTTTCAACATTTCAGTAATTCAATCTCAACCAAGGTAAGTCATTTGGATATAAGCTAAGCCATCAATCAAGCCACAGGTCATTTAGCAACAAATAAATTCAGGCTCAAGGGGGTTAGCAATGGAAAAATTTTCATACAGGTGGTTTATTTTGGCCACTAGCTAACAAGAACAAAATGCCTTTATCATATCAACCAATGCATGCATTACAGAGAAACAGATCAAGTTCTAGAGTGTTACAACAGTGAGGTCTCTCAACAAGAAAATTCAGTGTTTAAGCTCAAACCTCACAGCTATGGTATCAATATAAACTCAAGAAAATTGACTTCAGACATTATCAGAATTTCACAACATCAGTTTAGGAAAACGAGCAATCATGTAATCCAATTGTATCTATGCAATGTCATGCCAGAAAGTAATACAACATGCTTCCAAGAATTCAGTCAAGCACATTAACTAGATAAGCACATTTAAACCTGAGAATTACTTAAAAACATATCATTTTTTTTAAATCAAGGGCACACAAAATACTGCAAAAATAACTAAGAAAATTAAAAGAGTTAGAATATCTCCCCTGATAGAAGAATTGCAGCAGTTCTAAGATGCAAGCCTACCATTCCCAGATTTAGAGAATTGTTGTCCTTAGCAATAATTAAACCACAAGAAAGAAGAAAAACTTGCACAATGGAACAAATAGTGGCATATAGGATAAACTATAATGCGCACGTTAAAACATTAGAGAGAGATATACTAACACAAAGTAACAAAAAATACGAAACAGAAAAATAAACTAATATACAAAATCTCCGTCCGCAAGGAGATATAATCAACCCTCCATGTCATCCCATTCAGCAGCGTGGGATGACTCAGCAAATGGAGGGTCCGGTGGTACTGGATGCTTTGGTGTATGAGACCACAATTCCCAGATTTGTTCCAAACCATAAAGCCATGTTAAGAACTCTTTGAAGCATTGATTTTTCCGAGAGATAGAGTCTCGGTGTCTCTTGTCAAACTTCAGCTCCCGGTGTCTCTTCCAACTCGTATCAAAGAGTTTCACCACTTCCTTTCTCATTGCCTTCTTCTTTGTAGGATTATGCCTCCTTTGAGGCGTCCTCACCTCTTTGACATCATCTTTTAGAGTTTGAGGAAGCTCTTTCAATTCCACTTTTGAGTTACCATCTTCTTTGCAATCATATCTGCTTTTTCAGAAACCTCAACCGCTACATTTTTTTTCTTCCCTTAAGACTTCAAGACTAAAACAATTGTCTTTGTGAGAAGACTGTTTTAGAGAATCAAAGACGTGGATAGTAACGGTCTCATCATTCATTCTTAGCTCGAGCTTCCCATTTTCAACATCAATCAGTGCACGAGATGTAGCTAAGAAAGGTCTACCCAGCAAAAGAGGCATCTCAGCTCCTCCTTCCATGTCCAGCACTACAAAATCAGCAGGGAAGATGAACTTGTCCACCTTCACAAGAACATCTTCAATAATACCACTAGGCTTTCTCACAGACTTATCAGCAAGTTGAAGAGATGCTAAAGTAGGCTTCAACTCGGTGATTCCCAAGGAATTACAAACAGAAAGGGGCATCAAATTAATGCTAGCCCCTAGATCACATAATGCCCTGCCAATTTTACTGTTCCCAATTTCAATAGGAATATTGAAGCTTCCTGGATCATGACACTTAGGCGAAAACTTCTTTGTAATAATAGCACTACACTCCTCAGTGGGTGTCACCGTTTGGCATTCTTGCAACTTGTGCTTCCTTGACAACAAATCCTTCATGAACTTGGCATAATTTGGCATGCTAGCCAAGGCTTCAGCAAAAGAGATATTTATATGTAACTTCTTGAATATATCATGAAATCTGCCATACTGTTGGTTCTGAGCATCCTTCTTGAATCTTTCAGGATAAGGTACCATGGCTCGCACATATTCAGGACTCAGCTCAAACTTCTTCTTTTCAACTGGCTTCTCCACTTCAGTAGGTTTTTCAATTTCTTTTTCTTTTTCGGACTCACCTGCAGTATCTAGCTTCTTTTCAGCTTCCACAATTATGCTCGACTTTTCTGGAACTGCTGCCACTTTACCACTTCTAGTTGTGACAAACATACAATCCTCATTGGGATTTGTAACTGTGTTACTAGGGAAAGTGTCTGGAGTTCTATCAGCAACTTGCTTAGCCAGCTGGCCAATTTGATTCTCCAAATTCCTGATACTCATGTTTTTAGTATTGGCCCTAGTCTCTTCCATGAAGGCATTGGAGTGTTGAGCCATTTGTCCAACTAACTTCTCCAAATCAGAAGGTTCCTTGGTTGGGATTGGTGGAGGCTGCAGATAATTGTTAGAACTATAATCAAAACCACCTCCTTGACCTCTCCTCTGAAAATTGCTACTTCCAGAAGGAAAATTCTGATTTCTTGGAGTATTTCGTGGCGGAGGTCTTTGGTGATACCAAACGCCATTCACTTGTACTTGTTGAGGTGAATCAGAAGGCATCAAAGGACATTCATTAGACTCATGATTGTCTGGCAATATTCACACACAACAACAGCAGCTTTAGTCTGAAAACTAGCAAGCTGCATCTTGTCAAGCCTTGATGTTAAGTTTGCTACCTGCTGAGATAACAAACTGTTTTCAGCCAGCACCGCATTATTACCTTCCGGTTGAAGGATACCTATCTTAGGCTTTGTTGACAACACTTGGTTTTCGTTGGCAGCCATCCTCTCAATCAACTCAAGAGTCTCGTTTGCTCTCAGAGTTTTAATAGTGCCTCCTGCTGCACCATTCAACACCATCCGAACCTCAGGTTTGCAACCATTGAAGAAGATTCTAACTTGATTACCAGCAGTCAAGTTATACTGAGGACACCTCCTCATTAAATCCTTGAACCGGTTCCATGCTGCACACATTGATTCACCCTGTGACTGAGTAAAATTGGTGATACCATTCATCATCTGGTTGTACCTCTCCATCGAGAAGAACTCAGCAAAGAACTTCTGAGACATCATCCCATGTAGCAATGCTTGATGCAGGCTGCCTCTCCAACCAACTAAGAGCCTTTCCATTAAGAGCAAAAGGGAACAGCCTCAACCAGATCGCATCGTTCGACACCTGAGGGTGTTTGGTTGAGTCACAGATCCTCAAGAATCTGTCAACGAATCGGTGAGGATCTTCACTCTCTTCCCCTCCAAACTGAGCTCTCTCCACCAATTAAATATGAGAGGACTTGAGCTCCCAATTGTTGGCAACATTTGGCTGAGCAATGCTCGCATTGGGCCTATTGAATAATGGAGTTAGGATAGTATCCATGAGCGGATTGTCCTCTTCATTGTTCCCTGCCATGGTGTGTGCTTCTTCAAACAGAATTTCTGACTCGTCGAATGCAAGCTTCTTCCGAGCAAGTTTTCTGTATCTCTTTTCAGTCTTGGTAATCTCCTAATCAAGTGGAAATTCTGGCTCTTTACCTCGCATACAACTCAGAAAAGAGATTAGTAGCACTGTTCAAATATCAAAAACAAAAATAAATTCCAATCTTAAAGATCAAAATAAATTGATATAGAAAACGCCAATCCCCCGGCAACGGCGCCAAAAACTTGATGCTCTCCGGCAAGTATACCGATCACACAAGTAATATAGAAAGTAAGTAGAGTATCGTCTCCACAGGGATTGGGTCGAATATCAATTAATATTCCTTTCAAGAATGGATGAGTTCAGATGGTTTTTGACAAATATTGTCGATTTGTGTAAAAGTGAGAACTAATAATAAAGACTTGTTTTTGTAATTTTTTTAATGAGAAATAGAACAATAAATTGAGAATTGAATTTTGTAAATGTGAGAAAAACATTGTAGATTTATACTGAGTAGCAGAACCGGTATCTGCACTTTTCGTCAGAAAAGCGACTTCCAACATTATTAATTACTTTCTATAATTATTTAAGCCTTCTCAATAATTGATAGCTGGCTGCCCGATTGTGGTCCTTTGATCTCATATGCAGGTTCTCAGTTTTCTATTAGTGATACTCTTTAGAAGGTGGTGGACTACGTGGATGAATTGGGGCAATGGAAATGGAATTCTCTTCGACAATTGCTTCCAGATTCTGTGCTGCATCGATTTATGAATTTTCTTCCTCCTTCTAGTCAAGATGGCCAGGATCATTTAATTTGGAATGGAACGACAGATGGCAAGTTTACTGTTAAGTCAGCATATGCAATATTAGCCATCAAAGATACTACAATCCAACAGTTTCCTTAGGAAAGTGTTTGGAGATGGCAGGGGCCAGAAAGAATTCGCTTTTTTCTTTGGTTAATGGCAGGGGAGAAGCTGATGACTAATGTTTGTAGACTCTGCCGCCATATGGCTCTTTCAGATCTGTGTCCTAGATGTAATCAGTCTAGTGAAACTATCCTTCATACTATTCGCGACTGTCCACAATCAAAGGAAGTATGGTGCATGATAATGCCTCATATAAATCAGCGTGAATTTTTCAACCTCAACCTGCACAATTGGATCATTTCTAATTTAGACAGCTCAAAGGATTGGGGGATGGGGTCGGACTGGCCTCTTTTATTTGGAATCTTAGCCTGGAAAATTTGGAAATGTAGGAATTCTTGGGTTTTTGAAGGTGATCGCCAGAATGCTTATTCACTTATCCGTTCAGCAATTGGTTTCAGAGATAGTGTCGCTCTTGCAGCTAACCCTATTTTTGGAGCGGGCAATCAACCAAGGAATCACATAGAGAGATTGGTTGCTTGGTGTTGTCCTCCTGTGGATTGGGTTAAGCTTAATGTTGATGGTGCATGTGATGCTAATGGTACTAGGACTGGGTGTGGAGGAGTTTTTCGCGATGCCTCAGGAACTTGGATCGTCGGATTCTGTAAAAATTTAGGCTCAGGTACAGTTTTGCATGCTGAGTTATGGGCTTGCTTGGTTGGTTTGGAGCTAGCTTGGGATAGAGGTTTTAGGCAAGTTTGGCTCGAAGGAGATTCTCTTTCAGCTCAACAGCTCATTACAAATGGGTGCCACCATGATTACCCTGCGGCTAATTTGGTGAATCGTATTCGAAATTTGATGCAGCGAGATTGGCAGATTTATATGTCTCACATTCACCGTGAAGGAAATAGAGTAGCGGACTTTCTAGCCTCTTACTCTTATGGTTTCTCTTGGGTAATTCAGGAATTTGATTGTCCACCGTCAGGTTGTATTGATAGTCTGTATGGTGACACTATAGGTGTTCACTGGTCTAGGCTTTGTGCCTAGTTTCTTTTTGTTGTGTTTTTGTTTTAATTTCCTATTATTTCCAAAAAAAAAGAGCACACTCACCTTATGATCCCCACTTATTACTTTGGATTGATTTAAAAATATTCAATTATATAAATACTCAGATAATTATCATCTAAAATTAATTAGTTAAATTCCAATCCCTTGGCAATTTAATCCTTTAATCTCAATTGGAATCCTAATCCCTTAGCAACCCCTCATGAGAATTAAGCAATAAACACGATAATTCAAACATCTGCAATTCAATACACATCTATTCCTAGCATGCATACGAACCGTTATCCTACCCCCTTTCAGGATGAAAACCCCAATATTCCTATCTAGGATTCTAACCCTCAAACTATCCTCAACTATCAGATTGATCAATTCTAATAAAGAGAATATAAATACGCACAGGATAGAGATAAAGATAATTTATATAAACGAGTAAAAATAAACCAATACGTCGTAACAAGGGCTCACATAGGGTTTGTGACCCTAACTACAATAAAAAGTAAACTAGCCAAACATAATCATGACTAAAAATCCAATATCCATAAAAACATAAAGTAAAAGAGAAGAAGAAGAAGAACTTGATCTGCAGAATTCTCTCGGAGCACCACCGTCGTCTCTCTCAGTAGAATAGGTCTGGATCCCTAATTCTGTCATAAGGATCCTATTTATAAGCCTCTTTTCTTTCTTCCAAAAATACCCCCAGGACAACACGGTATTATTTTCTCACAACTCGGCGCCACTTGGCGCCGATTTAGCGCAAGTTTGCGCAGCGCTTCTGTCTGATATGAAGAGCCGGAACAAATTCCTCGTAAAGTGGCGCCAGTAGTCGCCATAGTGGCGCTATTTGACGCCACACCAATGACACAAAACAGGAGTTGAAGGAGAAACCGACCACTGCACCTGTGTTGGTCCTTCCTGATCCTGCGGAGCAGATTGAGCTTTATTGTGACACCTCCGAAAAGGGGCTGGGTTGTGTGCTGATGCAGACGGGAAGAGTGATTGCTTATGCTTCGAGGCAGTTGAAGCCTCATAAGAAGAACTACCTGACTTATGATTTGGAGTTGGCGGCGATTGTTTTTGCTTTCAAGATTTGGAGGCATTGCCTTTATGGCATGAAGTTTTCTGTGTTCATCGGCCACAAGAGTTTAAAGTATTTGTTTGATCAAAAGGAGCTGAACATGAGACAAAGGAGATGGATTGAATTTCTGAAGGACTACGACTTTGAGTTAAAGTACCATCCTGGCAAGGCCAATGTGGTAGCTTACGCTTTGAGTCAGAAATCTGTGAGTCTATCCAGTTTGATGATGGATGACTTTGATGTCATTGAGAAGTTTCGGGATTTGACAGTGACCTCATTGTTTGGAGGTGCACTTCTCGAAATGGAAACTGTGCGAGTTGAGAATGAGCTCATGGAAAAGATTAAAGAGGCGCAAGTGCAGAGAAAGTGCCTTGACTATGTGAAGAACCAAGACGACGTGTCTTGGAATGAGGATGGATTTCTTATGTTCCAGAAGAGGATTGTGATTCCTCGAGGTCCTTTGACTGAGGAGGAAAACATGTAAATGTGAAACCATACATATATGGTCATTACCAAAAAGAAGAAATCGAAAGGCAGGTGACATATTTTCTATCTTCTGATTTTATTAAGCACATTAACAGCCTTTACTCTTCCCCAGTTCTTTTAGTTAAAAAATAGGATAGCACATGGCATATGTGTGTGGACTATCAGGCTCTAAACAAGGTCACCATTCAGGATCATTTTCCTATGCCCACAATCGATTAATTAATGGATGAATTGGGTGGTTCTTCAATGTTCTCTAAGCTGGATTTGAGGGCTAGGTATCACCAAATAAGAATGTTGCCACAAGATATTCCTAAGACTGCATTTAGGACACATGAGGGGCACTATGAGTATTTGGTCATGCCATTTGGCTTGACAAATGCCCCAAGTACTTTTCAGACAATGATGAACCAATTGTTTAGACCATTTCTTTGCAAATTCATCATTATTTTCTTTGATGATATATTGGTCTACAGTGGAGAAATGGATGAACACATTCAACACTTAAAGATTACCTTGCAGTATTTGAAACAACATAGGTTTTTGTAAAGCTGAGCACATGTGCCTCTGGAGTGGGAGAAATTAAGTATTTAGGATACAAGGTATCAGAACAAGGAGTATATGCAAATCCAAGAAAGATAGAAGCAATGTTGTCATGGCCCACACCTAAAACAGTGAAGCAGTTGAGGGATTTTTTCATCCCAATTCTAGAGTGCTATTTTCAGGTATAGTGGAACAACATTGAAAGCCAGCACCGCCTACCATCCCCAAATGGATGGACAAACCGATGTCACCAATCGTTATGAGCAATACCTTCACAATTTCTATCATGAACAACCACAGTCATAGTCCAAGCTGCTATGTTGGGCACAATTCCACTATAACAAGCAATCCATTCAGCTATTGGAGTATCTCCATTTCAAATGTTGTTTGGCAAAAGTCCCACCTTAATTCCTTTTTATCCAAAGGGAATGGTGAAGGTTGAAGTAGTTGATACATTGTTGATTCAGCGAAATGAATTACTAGCAACTCTCAAGAAGAATCTACAACAAGCCTGCAATCATATGAAAGCAAGCGGATAGGCACAGATGTGAGAAAATTCAAGTGGGTGATTTTGTGTGG